GCAGATGCTTCCATCAATCACCATTGCGATTCCGGCCACGATCACAATCATTGCGCAAGGGCCCTGGTATGTACTGTACATATCAACTCTTGAGTCTTTGATTTCTTGCGCCCGCCCGTTACAGATCGCGTGGCCGCCCTCCATCTCGACTTTCTGCCTCTTGATAGTCTCCGTCTCCGTCTCCGTCTCGACAAGCTTCAGGGACCAACCGTCGAGGGCCAATGGGAACTAGTAAAAGGGTGCGGCACGATCAGCCAAGCTTTTCATGTCAAGAGTTGAGACATTTTGTTTATCAATCGGACTCTGACTGATGTGGGATAACTTCTCATGGGTTCCATGCCAGGGGTCCCCCAAAGGCAAGACAAGACAAGAAAACAGCGCGCCTTGCGCCAGGTAACCAAGATTTGGTTTGAGGGTACGGACGGCACTGCAAAGAATTGGCCAACAAGATAACGACGCTATCTTCTCTTAGCTGGGACTCTAACTACTGCATCCCCTGAGTTCCCCGTGGTCTAGCGTGGACCTAGATTTCTTCTGGCAATGGGCTGGAGTTGTGGTTGTTCTCACCGCGTTCCATGGCTCTGCCCTCAATACATACATGGAGGAGATTGTTGATCGTGGTCATGGGCAATCTCTACTTTTATCCTCTCGGTGTTACTGGGCATGTACCTCAAGCAGTCGCTGTTAGCCACGGCTAACCCCCACTGTCTATAATCGTCGGCTTGTGGTGCCATGACCACCTGCGGGTCTTCAACGTGGGAGTTTGTGATGCCATCAGCCGGCCTGCGGGCGCAGCCGGTCTAAGATTCGTGGGTTGTCCTGATGGCGAGACGAGTGCGGATGATAACGTCTCAAAAGCGGACCCTGGATATCCCTAGAAACCGTTAACAGTCTACAGCCTCTCACCTGTATTATGCCACTGTTTTCAGGTACACCTACCTGCCTGGACTCAGGTACTGTCCTAACCCGGCCAGACGGAATCACACAACCCCAACATCCCTGGGGGTTCAAATCTCGACATCGCCCTGCTTTATGATTAGAGCCGCCCGCCTACCTTGCCCTGCCCTGCCCTGCCTTGCCTTGCCTTGCTGCACCTACCTAGTACCTACCTACTTACCTACAGGTTGCTGTTGTTGTTTTCTTCTCTTTCCGTGCTCCATCTCTCATATCTAAAAAGACTACCCCATCCCCATTCATACCCATCCGTACCCATTCTGTCCATATCAGGCTCCTACTGCCACCGACATTTCCATGGACGACCTATCTCGCCCTCGATTCCTCTCTTCGATACCTTGGTTTGACGCAACTTAATGTCACCCTCACCCTCTCGCTCTCCCCCACCGGCCTCGACGCCGCAGCCCGACGAGTCTCAGTTACCAAAGGGTCAATGTCGATATATCCTCATGATACCTGAGCTCAAGGGTCAGCGGTGCGGCTGCATGGGGTTCGATCACAACAAATCTTTGCCAGGCGCCACTTGCAACTGTGGTCATCTATCCTGCTTTCATGTTGCCAATGCCGATACCCCAACACCAAGCACTAACAAGTCCGAGATCGATGCGATTCAACAGCGAGTACGAGCCTTGGAAGAACTCGCGACCCCACGAGACCGTGATCGACTTTCCCATGTTGTTCGTCGCATCAGCGAGCTGGAAGAGACGGTCGAGAAGAACAAGGACGAAACCGACACTGAACTCAAAGGCACATACCGCAACGCATCTGCTGCATGGGCGCTTGTTACACAATTGCAGCAACAGATTAAAGGCTTGGAACAAGCCCTTCGATCACAAGGCGAACAGCTGGCAAGGACAGGGAGCGAAGTGGACGATTTGCGCAATCGTCAACTTGAGCTGCTAGATAGTGACGAGTGCTTGGAAGAGAGGATCGAAAAGTTGGAGAGTGCCGAGCCTTTATTGTCGCCTCCCCAAGACCCAGATCCAAGCGGTGCCACCGTCAACACCTTTCATCTATCGCCCATAACCACTGTCCCCTCACAGCTGCCGCTGAACTCAACACAGAAATTGTTGATAAAGCCTACCGCATCAACCCAACGCCCAAGGTCATGGACAGTGCATGTGTCCTTGATGCCATCCAAGGACACGCCCTTCCCATTTGAAAAGGATACAACCTCATACAAGAGATGCTTGTCCCGTGGACTTCATCGTATGCTCGCAGTGGAAGGAGATGATGCCAAGTCTGTCACAGAGGCTGTATCACGCGCATTTGAACCTCTACTCAAAGGACGGCCGTGGGTTCCATTGCAAGCAAAGCTTTGCGATGCTGAGCGTCTACAAGGCTTGCCAATGTTGAGGCCCCTGGAGGCCAGGCTCGTCCACGGTCCGTACGACCGTGCGTTCCTCAAACAACACTGCGCCGTGCTGGATGCTAGTGGCAAGATGGACTCATTATATATTGCGATGGAGCATGACTCCTTATCCTGGAACTTCTTGAAGAGGTCTCCGGTCTACCTGGACGGGCTAGAGTCCGCATGGGAGCGCGATAGCGTACTCGACAAAAAGGACGAGCAAGACCCGTTGTCCAGGGATCACGGCGATGAAGGTGATGAGTCACCGCCCGCCGGCAACATCGTTGGAGCTTTGACAGGCCTGAAGCGTAGCATGTCCGAGATTTCATGCTCGTCTCTCGATGACACCGAATTACCGTTGGCCAAGTTGCCACGAACATGCAAGACATCTCAACTCGAGATGCGACGCGGCGTAGAAACTGCAAGGTGATGTGCAGTATTGGAAAACTGGAAATGAACGACTTGGGTTTCTTTTAAGGACAGGTGTAGACATCATGAAAGCGACTTTTTTACCGGCATATAATGGGGCGTTCAAACATGTGCTTGGGCAAGCACTGATACCTCGGGCATAGCATTGGCCTTTTTTTTTCCTTCTTTTTTTTTTTTCAAAAGCGTGGCCGGGCTTGGTTAGGTTAGACAGGAATTGGAATTAGAATAAGAATATTAGATGATAGAGTTGCTATTTATGTACAAGAACAAAGAGTCTGACCATCACTGGACAATTCCGCGGGTTCTAAACGTCTTCGAACTCTATCTCCTCGCTGTCCTCGTCTTCTTTTTGGTCTTGAGTATCTGGTCCAGCCAGTTTCACTTTCTTGGCGGCAGGGACATCTTCGAATAAGTCTTCTTCTTCGTCGTCGTCCTCTTCCTCCTCTGATTTTTCTTGTGCTATCTCCGCCTTGAGCTTCTCAAATATGTCGTCTATTTGAGCATTGGCCACGGCCGGTGCTGCTGGGCCAGCATCTTTGCTGGACTCCTTCTTGACGATTGATGCAGTGCCAGGAGCAGCGCTTGCTGAGAAGGACTCCCCAGTGACTGTACTATTGGACATCCACGATGGAAGAGCATTTTGCTTCGCTATCTGCTCCTTGCGCGCCTGCTCTGCCGCCTTCTCGGCTTCTGTAGGGCCATCCGATGTTGAGATGTTAACTGCAATCGATTGCGGCCCTGTGTTGGTCAAGCCCTTGACCGCCATAGGTCGGTTCGCGCCAGAGTCTACTGCAGTAGTCTGAGCGCGCTGATGTGTTTCGTCGCGCTTCACCGGGCGTGCTTTGGCAAATGCGCGATCGAAATCGCATTCAGGAATGTGGACGGCGTCGATCTTGGGAAGCAGTTCACTGATGAATTTGAACTGGTCATTAAGTCGCGTTGACTGCTCGTGCCCAGTCGATGTCCGGTCGGCCTCAAAGGTCAGAACATGAGAGCAGCGGTGGCATAAGAATCCTTCCGGGCCAACGTTGTCCAGGACCTCCATCGCCGTCCATTCTGCCTTGCAAAATGAGCAAAAGTACTCTTTTTTCTCGCTCGCGACTTGCGTAGTACCCTGTACTTCTTTATCAATAGTGTAAACGCGCCATTTGATGGCGTCTATTGTGGCTCGGTAGTCGATGTAATACCATGTTTTGTTGCTTGGTCTTGGGTTGCCTTCTCGGAGTTCTGATCGTGTGTGTCTGCACCGGGTCCGGTCAGTCAAGAGCTATTCGGCCAAGATTCCCTTCACATACACCACCAAGAATCGATCCTCGCGAAGCTTTCCGCATATCTTGTGGAGTTCCTTTGTGTTGGTAGACATCAAGTAGGCCAAATCATCGTCTCGAAGCCTAGCAAGACACTGTGGTTAGCAACCAAGCACTTTTCCAGCATAGGAGTGTAATAGTCATACTCACGCCTCATGTAGAATAAGCGCATCAATCACAAGTATGTCGCGGGTTTCGTAAAACGCCCGCGCAACGGACTTGATAAGTGTGATTGCGAGATCCATGATGATGTTGGTTTCATGCGAGAATGTGATCGCGAATATCATGTGCAGGGGTATAACTTGAAGGTTTGATGACGTAATCAGAATATCATATATAAATTAAAAAAACTGCAGGCAACCAAGAGAAGAGTCACAGCTGTCTGGCTGCCTGCCTACTAACCTGCCTGCGGTATTATTCATAAGCTAGGTACGAGGTAAAGAAAGAGTTTCAGACGACAATAGTTCCTTAGGTAGCAGTCAAGACTTGGAGCTAGATGGTCACGATGCAGGTTGAAATAGTCTAGGCAGTGTCAGTTGATTAGTTGACAATGGGAACCATCATTCGGCCATAAGCACTCTTTTGAGACGCCTCTATAGCTACATTCATCTGACACTACAAAGCAATGCACCAACGCCAAGCAAGCCAGTCGGGCATGAGCATAAAGGAGAGTCTTTGTTTGGCTCTGTTCAACAGAAGCCTCTCTACCTAGTGGCAGCCACAAAAGTCGGAGATAAGTTGAGGAATAAACAACTTGAAAGGATAGATTCATCACTTAATATCATTAGGCCTGCATTATTTATGCTTAACTCATTGTTGCGGTGCTTAATGGCATAATGGCTTCCTTGACCCATACGAAATTCCATGTCTCTTCCACGATGTTGTGCGCCAGACACCCAACCTTCCCCCTCAAGGTCCGAGAGGAATAATCACAAAGATTCTAACTGCTCTAGCCTCACCTACACATATTGCCGCAGCTGTTTCATGTTAGTCAGAAATTGTCAAGGCCAGTAGAATAGGGAAACTCACATCCAGAGTAAGGGTTCTTGAACTATTGACCTCCTGGTCACGGTAAACACCCACCAGGCTGTCGCTGTCTTGGAATAGACCTGCCTTGAGACTGATCACAATGAATTGCATACCGGGACCACGGTGGTCCTTGATGTACTTCTTGATCTTGTCCACGTTGGCGTTGTCTAAAGCGGCGTCCACTTCGTCAAGAACAAAGAAGGGGCTAGGCTGGTAGCTGTGAATAGCAAACAAGAGTGCCAGTGCTGCCATTGTCTTTTCGCCTCCAGACAAGTGCTCCATATCTCTGAAACGCTTCAGAGGCGGCATGGCATGATATTTAATACCGGACAGATAGGGCATGTCCGTGTCTTCCTCGATGTCCAAATAGGCTTGACCACCAAGAGGGTATGCTTCTGACCGGGTGAGATCCTTGTATACATGTGATATTTGCTCCTGGATATGGCTGAAGGCCTTGTTAAAGAGGTCATATCTTTTTTGCTTGACCCGGTTGAAGACCTCTTTGGCTTCGTGTGCCGCTGTTTTTGAGTCTTCATACTCCTGATCTGTGACTCTCAGCCGGGACTCAACGCTTTCTAACCTTTCCATTGCTCGCATGTTGGGGTTCAACTTCTCGAGCTCCGATGTCAGATTCGTAATCTTCTCTGATAGACTTTCTTCAACGCTCGGGTCATCCGACTGCATAGTGTTAGCGTTATCACTCACTGACTCTAAAAACGAACATTAGTCCTTACAGCTTTAAGTTCGTCGTCAAGTCCACTAAAGTCAATGGTAATGCCGTGATCATCAAGTGCCATGCCCATCATCTCCTCATCATCGTCCTCATCGTCTATGTCCATGGCATCTGGGTCCTGGTTAAGCAGACGGTCGTCATTAGGTAGATTCTCCAATGTGCCCTCCGCAAGCGGGATGCGGATCTGCTCTAGTCGGCATCGTCGAAGTAATGCCGCTTTGCTGGCGCTGTTCTTCTGAACCACGGTTTCAAGGGAATTGATATCCTTCAGATAAGCTTCGATGTCCTTTGACCGCTTTTGAACTTCGAGCTTAGCCTCTGACACCTTCTGGTTCTTTTCGGTGAGCTCTGACTTATTCTCGTCTAGTGCCTCACGAAGAGCTTCCAACTCTTCCTGCTCCTCACGCATCGCATTCTCAATGGCATCCTTCTCTCTTGCATAAGACTTGATATCGTTTCTGAGCTTTCGGACATGGGCTTGATTGCGATCAATTCGCGCAGTAGCAGCTGCGTGACGTTGCTGCTCCCACTGGAGTCGACTCGACAGTTTTTGCTTTTGGACTTCGAATTCATTGCGCTTTTCAGAGACCTCCTGCTCCAGCTTGCCTTGCGAGTCACGGTAGCTTCGAATATCGCTATAACCGAGTCGTCTACAGAAATCTGCAAACACTTCATCTTCAACTCGTGCGATTGCAGCCCGAAATTCTTCGCACGTGGCAGTGGTGATTTCAAGCTGGGAAGCCTGTTCTTGGTATTTGGGCTCGAGCTCTCGAAGTTGCCTCTTTTGGTTGTCCAGTTCGCGCTTCTTGCTGGCATGGTTCTTGTTGAAGGCTGCCAGTTCGTCTTTGATGGCTGCCAACCGCCTTTCGAGCCCGGACAAGTCAATTTGAAGGGTTTCTTCTTGTGAGCCCCGGCGGTCAGCCTTGGGTAGTCGGTCAATCTCATCCTTAAGCTTGGTGGCCATTCGCTGGAGATTCTGAACATCTGCCTCCTCGAAACGTCTTTTACTCTTCGACTCGGGTCCACGACCACCTGTCATCAGGCCTGCTTTATGGATGATGTAACCTTCCAATGTCACGGCTTTGACGGGGATCTTTTTTTCGTAACAAATGTGCTTGGCAATATCAAGAGTGTCACACACAACAGAGCTTCCACATGCATACGACATGGCACGCTCAACGGAAGAATCAAAGTCGATGGTATCAATCGTCAGCCGAGCGCCAGAAAACCCCTTGACGGCTGTGTTGACTGCGTTGACCTTGATGTTGTCCAGAGGGATGAATGTCATGGGCTGAAATCTTTGTTCCTTGAGGTATTGAACACATTCCACACCGATTTTCTCGGAGTCGACGACGACAGCATCGAAGTCCCTTCCAAGTGCCACAATGACAGCTTCATCATACTTTTTCTGCTTGGGTTTGCATAGGTCACCGACTCGACCACGGACACCTGGAAACATGCGCTTCAAGGAGGTCACCATCTCTTTCATCCTAGCTTCCCTGTCGTTCTGGCGCCGACCATCATCAGCTTCTCTAAGCTTTCTAGCGACATCCTCGAGCTTCTCCTCGAGCTCAGTTCGCTTCTGATTGGTCCTGACGCGTTCTGACTGGAGTTTATTGAATTCCTTCTTTTTAGCTTCAATCTCTTGCGAAAGGTCTTTGGAGGTCGCCTGCGCTGCAGATTTGCGTTCCTCGATGCTCGATAGTTCTGCCTCAATCTTTTCGATGCTTGCCGCAATGCTATCGACTTTGCCTTTCAGATTATTGACGGTTACTTCATCTGCTTTGCGCTGCCGGCCAAGGTTCTCAAGCTTGGCCTGATTAGAACCGGTCCTGGACATGAGCTGAGTGCGCAGTCTGTTGTACTCTCGACGATCCTCATCGCTGATCTCGCGGCCCTGTTTCTTCATTTGTTCTTTGTAGTCGTTTTCGAAAACTTGACGGGCCTTCTCTACGCTTTCAATATCCTTCTGGACCTGACGAACAACCTCGGCCTGCTCGTCACGTTCCTTGGTGGCCTTGGCGATTGCAGCCTGAAGTGTTTCAACTGCCTGCGTAGATTCATTGATCTTCTCCTCGATGGGAACAAGACTGTTCTCTTTATCCTCGATATCTCGTTCTTTGGCCTTGATCTCTTTGTCTAAACGGGCGACTTGCCTGTGAGCGGCAGCCTGTTCCTTCCTGGCCGCTTCAAGTCTCTTTTCAAAAGATTCCACATTGCGGCGCAGCTCTTTGAGATTTTCCTGATGATCCTGGATAGCGGCAAACGAATCCTCCATGGCTTTCTGGAAATGGTATAGTTTCCACAAACTATGTGTAACTATTGCCGCATCGCGCTCATCAGTCTTGTTTTGGAAGTTGTCTGCTTCCTTTTTCTGTTCCCTGTATTGCTTAATTTCCGAGTTGATGCCACGTCGTCTATGAAGCTGGAAGTTCTGGTTCTCGGCAGCCTGTTCAGCCTCGAGCTGTGTCTTCTCATATTCTGCCTTGTACTCAAGACTTCCCGAGATTTGTTCGATCAGGCGCGTGAGATCCTGAGGGGATTGCGAAGCAATGGCCTCAACATCTCCTTGGAACACGAGAAAGTTTCGTGCCTTGATAAGAATATTCTCGCTCTCAAGAGACTCGTTGTATTGCTGGGCTGTGACAACGCGATCGTTGATTCGGTACTCGCTGGCTCCTTGGTTCGTGATGGAGCGCTTCCATTTCTGCTCCTCGCCAGCATCGTCTTCGTACACAGCCATGACCCATGCCGTTTTGGGGTCACCACGGGAGGCTTTATCGTTACCATCAGCGTCACCGTTTGCGTCGCCATTGGTCTGCGCAGAACCGTCATCATTGATCTTGGCCGTTTTCAGGACTCGTCCGCGGTAAACGAGGTCTTTGAGGTGGGCGGAGCGTAGATGTGAGGACTTGATGCCCAGGACGAAAGATATGGCGTCCATGCTAGAGCTATGTTAGAGAGGCTCACTGGAGAGCGGGAGAAGCGGCATACGAGTTAGACTTGCCGGATCCATTGGGTCCAATGATAGAGGTGAAGTATGAGTCTCCGAAGAGAAGAACATGATGCCCTTTGTACGATTTGAAGTCTGTAGAGCAGGTTAGCTTAGATGGCGATCGTCTCGTCTGAGATTACGCGTGAGGGAAGACACACTAAACAACTCCAGACGAATAAGTTTGCCCATGATGAGGTCGTGGGGCAGCACGGCCGGGTATCTAAGAAAGAGAGTGGAAGGCGTGTAGTCGTGACCGGAGAATATGATGCTAAGGTAGGTTGATTAGAGGGGTCACTCCTGGTCTTGAGCTCAACCCGTAGTGTTGAGTGAGGGCGCGTCAAAGTGGTGGCCGGGGCTCGGAATGCGCCAACGAATCGCGCAAACGAATAAACCCGGTTTCAGGAGCGCGTGAATGGTATGCGCAATAGAGGCCGAGTTACGTTGCGAGATATGACAAGGTGCAACTAATAGCATGCATTATAGACTACGAGAATAAGCGACGGATAGGTAGCCAAATCTCTGCGCGTGCCAGGAAAGTTGAAATGAAGGGTAACGCGTCGCGCGACTCGGCTTGAGTTTGGAGTAGGTTTCCGATTGTACATACAGTACTTGATGAGTCGGGGACTACCCTTACTGGTAGCAATTGCAGATGCGGGACCTTTGGTTTCGAGCCAATCAAATGAGACCCTACTTTTTGGATACCTAGAGGAAGCGAGTCCTTGTTGCCTCAGGCTTTCAATCATGGTCTAGTGCTTCAAGATGAAGCCTTCAAGCACCGTCTGAGGGCAGGGTATTGATCCATAGTGTTCACCAGATCCAATGCTTCCATCGGACATAAGCGACACGCACCAGCTGATGGATGCAAGACAGATGGGTGGGCAGGCTGAGACCAGGATTCAATGCGATATGTGGTCTAGAATTCATTCATAGCCAATTAGATTCCGAGGAATCACCACGCAATGTCGAAACAAAGGTTGAAATCAATTCACATGATTACATTATCTTAGCACTTTGTGACTGCAGTGCCATATGGGTACAGGGTCGATCAGCCAGGTCCAAGAAGGCCATCAGCCTACACGATACAGTGGATGGCAAATGAGTACCAAACAACAAAGTTCCTTCATTATAGTGCCTCGATACATATTGTAAGTGAACAGGATCTATGCTGCAACAACTTACCAAGTTACATGGCAATGGGAGGGAGATCTTTCCTGGCCGCAAAAGGCTTGTTTGATGGATGCTATTTTAATACCTATCTGGGCGGATCGTCGACTTTCTTGTAAGTGGCGTGTCCGTACTATCCCTCGTAGTTCAGGGAATAGGTAGAGATATCTTTGATACTAGGTAGGTATGCCAAGCTGAACTTCACTTATGAACTTTCCATAGGCTTTGGAAGGATATCTTGTAATACTCTTTAGCTAGTCCCTCTTTCTGACGTATGATTATTGGTTCTTTGTTACTTATATGTACCTACTTCCTACCACCATGCTTTGAGAGCTGCCCGGATATGAACATGCACTCTTGTTCTTAGCGTAAGTGCATGTAAAAATGTCTCCACTTCCCCAATAAGCAAGCTTTCAGCCCAGTCATTTTAGTTACATTTCATCATCGGTCCCGGGGTCCATCAGTAGGGGAGCTGGGGAGGTAGCAAAACTCAGGACCTTGACCCAAATGGAAGCGACAAAAGTATTCAGGCAAGTCTAGGTAGTCTATGCTTAGGGGACTCTTTGCGGAGTTCAATTTAGCAGCCTCTTCCAAAGTCTTATTTGTAGGTTTTCTTGCTCCTCTCGGCCAGCTCTGACTGACTGACTACCTAAGGTTCTGAATGAATTAAGGCCCTGGACCTCTACCTAGGAGGTTGGTTGAGCTGTTGGCGTTGGTGGGCTTTGCCTGCTTCATACCATTCGCATTCTAACTACCTACCTACCTTACCTATCCTTCCCACGTGCATGCTTCGTCACCGCTGGTGTTCTCTCTTGGTTTCACCTCGACTCCATCAAGCCTTTCTTCCACTTCCTCTTATCACTACCCCGATTTGGTTCCAATCTTGTCTGTCTCATCTCGTCTCGTCTCGCCTTGCCTTGCCTTGCCTTATCTTCAACCTGGATAGGTCGCTTTTTAAAATCTGCTTCTCGAATCACCCGACACCTTGGTCCAGCTCCAAGTGACACACTATTATAATCTGCTAGCTACCTACTTACTCCCTGTCCACAGAACAGAGCTTGTCTCAGGATCCTATATAAGTATCTGTGCCGCACTCCCTTACACTGGGTACCCTCTACTCTTGCTGCTTTCAACACGCTTCCTCTCTGTCGTGAGTATTCTCTCTTTGGCGAGTACTGCCTTTACTCTCCTACTGTATTACCCAGCTAACACATATTTCTTACCAAGACAAAAGCAACCACTTATACTTCGCTCTCAGCACGTGGACTTGGAAGAAGCGCCCGAATCATGGACGACGATACAAAGGGAGTCTCGGGTATTGCCCAAGGCCTCAAATCCGACAATATCTCGACCGATAGCGAGATCATGCTCACGCCTGATCATGAAGCTCCTTCGTCTCCGAACAACCCGCCCGCCGACTCTACCCTTCTTGACACTCCAATGATGGGTGCCACGACGCCCAGAGGCTCGATGCACTCGAGAAACCCGTCCTTTTCTGGTAGCAGTTCCAACCATGAGGACTGGGATGGCTTTCCACCTCTTGATCGCCTATCTGTGCTTGACCTTCTCGACAACTTTGCTCTTCCCCAGCAGCTCGAGAAGCTACAGAAGGGCATCTCAGCGCAGACAGACAAGGTCAGGCGTTCCAGGGAAGCGATCAAGACCAAGACACAATCTGCTCGGGATCGCATGGTTGAGGAGTGGAGACGCCGGGTCCCCGAGGCTGATGAACAGCTCGATCGGTACCGCAAACAGATGCAACGCCGTGTCGATAAGCTCGGGAAACGATGGAACGATACAAAGGTTATCAGTGTCAGAGAAAAGGTGTCCTTTATCTTTGGTGTTATGAACATATTCGTCAGCGGATACCTCATTGGCGCATACCCAGAATACTTTCATTTGTGGTACACCGCACAACTCTTGTATTTCATGCCAATTCGATTCTTCACATATCATCGACGTGGCTACCATTACTTCCTCGCAGACCTCTGCTACTTCACCAACCTACTACTGGCTCTCTCGATATGGGTATTTCCCGGCTCGAAGCGTCTTTTCACCGCCTCATACTGCCTGGCTTTTGGTAACAACGCAGTCGCCATTATCATGTGGCGCAATTCACTGGTCTTCCACAGTTTCGACAAAGTTACGTCGCTGTTCATCCACATCATGCCATGCGCGACCTTGCATTGTATCGTGCACTTGTTTTCGCCCGTTGAGCAGAAAGAGCGGTTCCCTGCAATTTGGACCATCAAGAATTCCCCTCCAGGCTCCCCAACCGCATATGCCAATGTAGCCTCGATGCTTGCTTGGAGTTCCTTGCCCTATATCTTCTGGCAGGTCTTGTACTACATCTTCATCACTGTGCGCCGAAGAGACAAGATTGCGGCTGGTCGGCCAACCTCGTTCACTTGGCTCAAGAAATCATATGCCAAAACCTGGCTGGGAAAGTTTGTCCTCCGACAACCAGAGCACATGCAAGAGGCAACCTTCATGATGATTCAGTATTCCTATGCTCTTCTGACTATGCTTCCTTGCCCCTTATGGTTCCTGAGCCGCTGGGCTTCTGCAGGCTTCCTTATGGTGGTCTTTACTTGGAGTATCTATAATGGCGCAACATATTATATCGATGTATTTGGGGTGCGCTTCCAGAAAGAGCTAGAGGCTATGAAGGCCGAGGTGGCTCAATGGCAAAATTCTCCCGAATACATGCCACTATCGCCTCCGCTACATCCCCGACCTGATGCATCCTCAGTCTCTCGCCAAGCTCAACAGGGAGCGGCTCCCTCAGCATCTACTGGCCAGATTCCGTCCATGAATGAGGTTGATCGAGAGAAGGACTTGATGGAGGGAACGTCTCTATCTAAAGATGATGTGAATCGGTCTGTTAGTGTGGACAAAATCCCTCTTCTAGATGAAACACGAAGCTCTTCTGCTACCGGAGTTGTTGGGAATTTAGGTGACACAACACGCGGCAGACGAATGCGTTGAGCTTGGTCGATAACTTGAGAACCATACATTCGCGCATGCCTTTGTAGTGGCATGGATTGGTTATGTGATGAGATCCTTACTTACCTTTTTCTATTATAATGGTTTGTGATACGAAAGCAATGCGATGTTTCTAGCGTTTACTAAACCTTTACCTGTCAATTGATTCTCACTGAAAGATATAATATTAATTGAGGATAAAGTACTCTAAACTACTGTGTTACTTCAGCAGCTCTCCTTAGTTATCACTGTCGGCCAGAACGAACATATGCAGACTAGCATAACGTGAATAACATTTGATCACGACGAGCACCACAATTAGGGGGAGACCGTTCGCTGAACTTGAATGACGGGTTTGCCCCCGTCAGATTCATATTCATCAGGCATCTATCACCTTGCCATAGGGCATTCCGCTGTGATGTGCGGGCCGAAGGGCCTAAAGAACAGAAAACAATCGCTAAAGCTCGGCCCCTTGTTCGCTTGACCTGCCTGAAAGGTTAAGAGAGACACCTTTTCATCGTTAAACCCATCCTTTGATCCAAATGGGGTGTCATGATCCGTCACAAACCCCTGAGTCCCAAAAACCAGTAAAGCAATCCTGCCAACACCGCCTTCCCTAACCCACTGAAGCACTGAGTGAGTCCTGATACAACGCCAATAAATGCATAATGCAATAGCCTTGGGGGTATGAATTGTAGTACACAGTATGCGACTTTCAAGAGTTCCAGGAACTCTTTGCACTGTGTCTGTAGTAAAAATGCGCATTCCATATGGTGTATGGTCATAGTCTAGAGCGAACATATCGAAACGCTTCTGAGCAAATCGGAAAAATGATGCAAGGTAGCCCTTGATCGTCATCAGCTAGAAGACTCAGCGAATAACGGCCAAGTCGGCAAGCCGACCTCCATTGTCTCCGTCTTCTCGGGTCCCAGGTCTGCGGCCGAAGGTGGACCAGAATCTCAGGGTCTCATCTCCAGCGCCAGTCACGATTGTTCGGCCATCTGGGCTCATAGCCAAGTAAAGCACACGATAGGTGTGGCCTGTGAGGCTGGCCACCTGGGTCATGGAAGGATACTTCCAGACAACAATCTGATTTTGGCTGTATCCATGCGTGGATACGATTTCATTCGAGTTTTTCGACCAAGCAATATTGCAAACCTGGCTGCCTGTATCGATCTCGTTGATGACTGAGCCCTTGACCGTGTCGTGGAATATTATGCGACGGTCGGCAGTGCCACCTCCAGAAGCCAGCAGGCCACGCTGATGGGGCGACCACGATATTGCTTTGACGGCTGCGGTGTGATCTGAGAACTTCCAAAGCGGTGTCTCCGAGAGCTTATCCCAGACCATGAGCTTGTTGTCATTGCCACCACTCGCTAGTTGACCGTCTTCGCAATTCCATTTGAGTCCACAGACTTCTTGTTTATGGCCGACCAATTTCCTCAGCCACTGATCGGGGGCCCGTACATCCCGATGATAGATCAACCGATCGCGTGATCCAGATGTGAGAATGTGCGTGTTCCAAGCTAGAGAACCTACTCTTGCCGTGTGTCCGGTCATTGTTCGTAGCCTGCGAGCCTTTTCCGCGTCCCAGATTTGTACAAGGCCTTTGCCCGTTCCTATAGCAAGGTGCGTGCCTTTTTGAATCCACGAAACGCTTGTGACAGTGTCATCATCGAGTGTGCAGAGCTTGTTGACTTTGCTAGTTTGCGCATTCCACATGTACACACTAGAGCCCAGGCCGACTCCGAGAATGTTGGCGCTTCCCCAGTCGACCAAGTTAAGGTAAAAGTCATCGGCTAGTTCGGGAGCATCGAGAACCTTGTAAGGAACCTTACTGACAGCCCTGGGTTGACGTCTGGGGCTCAGTAGCATTTGTTGACTCCCAAACCGCACTGGCGACAAGCTGTAAATCTCACTCCGAGTATCAAGGTTGGGACCATGCCGGCTTTGCGGTGTCTTTGAGGGAGTAGGGTGCCCCGCGACTTGATTGTGATGTCGAGGTGACATGTACGAGAAGAGGTTTTTGTGAGGAGTAGAAGGTGTTAATGATGATGGTAGTGATGGAGCTGTCGCATTTGTGGGAGGAGTGTGAGCCCGCGTGCCATCATTCGTGGGAATATGAGAGCTTGCAGGAAGGGTTTGGGTTGGGGTGAGGGTTGGGGTAGCGGCTTGCGGTACAGAGCTCTCGAAGAGCTCAGCACGTAGCAGGTGGGAAAAGGTCCGGTTTGCTTCCTCCGCTGGCATTGCATGTCAATACATGAATTAGACAGGGTGTTTAGGAATCACATACTCTTCTGAAAATGGAGCTCGCCATGCGGTGTACGTTTCTTTTGTTTCGATGGCGTGGCAGGAGATCCGTCCTCATGCAACAGACTAAAGCTTGCTTGCAGGTCCTGGCCAGAGCGGGTCGGAATGAATCTGCAGGATGATGAGCATATGCGGCAGTCAAAGCAAGGGGTCAACAAACCGATCGCCATTTATTCGCTGCCGCTTACGATGAGGGCTGGCACCTGGGGTGCTCTCACGTTGCGGACGTTGAAACTCTCGGAGCAGCGCGCTATCGACGGCATCAATGTCGAAAGGACTCGCGCGGGCACCTTCGCTTTTCCTTGCATTGCTGCGTAGAGCACGGTTTGTTGCGTTATCGTGGCTATGTCGGGGTTCTAAACGGGCGCGATCTAAGCGGGGAGGTGTAGATGAGCGTGGAGTGGCGGTATGGCTCTTGGATTCGTCGATAGCTCGCTTTGCTGATTGATGATTCAAGGCAGTCATGCCCGCGGCTTCTGGGAGCGTCGCCATAGTTGCGATATTGGCGATACAGTTTGCAGTCGAGGTACTGAAGGACTGCTGTAGCAGGTGGTGTTGAGGGGTGCGCGCGTATTGAGATGAAGATTGTGAGGCAGTCGTAGGAGCGTCGTTTGGTTATTATTGGTCAAGCGATGAGTATAAAAAGAGAGTCGAGGCGAGACGGTGAGGGTGCAGTCCCAAGCACCGTCCAGCTAATATCAACCTTTGTTCGTTGTAAGGCGTTTATCGCATCGTCCCGATATTCTCGCAGAAACCCAGACAGGAACTGGAAACGTTGATCACAATACTCGATGACGTTAATAAAGCGAGCTTGTACTTAATCGATAAAAGTAATATTATGCTGAAGAGAACCGATAGCCGTCGACTAGAAGAAAGCGAAAAGGGGCAGCCTGTGATGATGCACGACGCGATAGTCGACGATATGAGGTGTGAGGTGCAAGATCCAAGTCGAAACAGAGCCAGCAGTAATGGAGGACGGAGGTTGAAGCGGGCGGGTGAGGTGCGGTAATGTCCAGCGCTGAGGTAGTGCTGGGCAGAAATGCGCTAGGGGTGGCGGGAAGAGGGTCGCAGCTCTCGTGAGGGATGGCTGTTGCTTGTTGCTGCTGGAGGGAGGTTGAACTGGGGCTCTCGTCGCGCGCTAGAGACGGCCTGGCCAATCAGATAGCTCACACATCGGAACCAAACCCCCTGTGCCCCCGGACGGGCTTGACAAGGACGGACCGCGGGCGACCAGGAAACGCGCAGGTCAATAACAACAACCAAAATAATAGCAGAGGAACCGTGATTCTGTTATTGAACGCAATAGACCTGAACATAATAACGCGATTGAGTGGATGGCTATTGTTCGTCGTAGGCAGGTGCTTTATTTCTCAATGGAGCTCACAGATTCTCAATTGTTCTTCCCCGTTCCTCTTCTTCTTGAGACCGTTGAAACTATATTGTTCCTATTCCCCCCTCTCTTATCAGGAGGGTCCCTCTTGATTCATGATACCCAGGACTCCGTACCTTACTTACCAACATAGGCAATTCGGGTATTCGGCTGGTGCCGGCGAGCACATGGCACGGCATCTGTCTGCCTTTGCCCTGGTGTCAGCTACTGCGTCATTCTCAACGGCTGTGAGGAAAAGAGGTATCGACTCTGGAAGCAATCATGACCAAACAATCGCATGTTGTGCATTCCATTTCGATTTCAACAAGAAATAGAACTTTGACAAGGTATATATGATTATTTCACAGCCGCCGTGGTAGTGATTGAAATTGATACTGCTAGCCCTTCAAACAGGTAACCATAACAAACGTAAGGATATAAATATGTTGAATGGTATTAAGAAGAAGCGCATACATTCACCTCGTGCATGACTTGCACGTACCTATACAAAAACAACAACATACACATGGGCAGGCAGTGCAACAAAAAGGGTGCGAGACACAAGAAGTGGGAGAATTGAGGCTGATTCATTGCAATGCCCACGAATATTTGTAAGGCCTGCTGCCCAGATGTTAGACGATCAATTGTTTTTATTTTGTTTGCATCTGGACAATCAATATTTTCGGAGCCGGTCTCGGAGCAGTCTGCAAGCTAGGTAAGGTAAGGTATAACAAACAAGCGGGACGTTCCGCAGCTAGTTAATCCAAACCTCATCGTTTGACGATCATGAGGGCGACATGCTTTACTCACATTCAGCATCTACGGATATACGTATATCGACATATCCCAGGTGCCTACGCATTTAGATATCAGTGATCTCGAGCCAATGTAGCTAAGTCAGTGACTGGATCGTAGCTGAACGGAACACGCGCGTATATAGCGCGACCTCTTTGCCCCAGCCTTCGAGGCTTAAGTCAATTGGTTGGCTCTGAACTGCCATCAATTGCATTGCTTGTTTGTGTCCTTTGTCTGTGGCCTCTCAGACAATCAGCGTGTCAGTGTCCAATAAGCGCCTGTCTCTGTCTACAGTGCTGTTACGAATTAGGAATACTGTTGACACGGTTCGCGTTAATCCGCGACCACACGCCACTCAACGCGTCTAATCCGCGTTCCTCTTTTCCCCTCTTTGTCCCTTTTTTTCTTCTTTCCCCCACCTGAATTCCAAAGGAATGTATTGGCCAGATGATGGGTCGCTGCAAGGACATGGAACTGGCCTGTGGCTGCGCGAATGGCTTTTAAAACTCCACTCCACAAGCTGATGTCAATTCTGGGGAGCAAGAAAACATTAGGCCTGGCATAGTGTCAAAATAGATTCAGCAAAGCCATCGTAAACTTATGCCAAGTTACCTAAGAGTTTCTTCTTTCAGTCACTTAGGTATGAGGTCTTAGATAAGCTGTGGTAAATAACGTCGTCCACGCTGTACAATATATTGGGTGTTATTGTGCGCCCGACTGAAAACTTAACTCTCCAACCCTTCGAGGTCAGATATCCTGCAGCTTGCGGTCATGGGAACCTTGGGTCATCACTTCATTCTATTGTTCGTTCTTTGACGATGCCTCTAAAAATTGTTCTAACATGTCGAGGGCAGTCTCCCAATAGAGAACTCCCTCCATACCTTGCTGCGCCTTGTTCCTTCAAAGCATGGTCAAGCCACCCTGAAAATTATGAAAATGAACAAAGAAAATATGTAATGGCGTTTTCAAGGGGTAAAAGAAAAGGGAAAAGGATGGTGTCAGTCAGGGATATATGTATGCGCAACAAAATAAAGGCCCCAAGGTCCGAATGTTGGAAAGGGCCGGCATGTTAGTGAGGGTGTCCCGCACCACTAGCACACAAGCACTCGACTCATTCCATTGTTCATGCTTGGGCCTCTGCTTGCGCGAGCAGTCTCTCTCGCCATCCATTGCAGACCTCCTCGAATCCGCCAATTACATCTCCACAGACTCCTGCACATTCTCGCTTCTCCAGACGTTCTCCCCAATTGCCCCTTGTCAGCCATCGCTCGCCCTCCTCTCTAAGTTCCTCTTCCCTCCTCATCTCAGCCACAATCTCCTTTGCGCTCTTCAGTCTTCTTGTCGCCATTGTCGTTGTCTGGCGAGACATGTGTAGTGTGTCGGAGAGGTAATTGAGGTTTTGGACAAGCTCAGTTGTAAGGGTGTGGAGGCTAGTTAAGGAGTTGAAGGCCAATGTTGAAGGCCGCGGCATGGCATCAGAGAGGTTCAAGAGCAACGGTATCAAGTCGTCAATAGTTTCTGGGTCTGGCGGTGCAACGAGAGGAGACAGCAGAGAGAAGGACAGGTTATGGATCTGGCGAGATTGGTGATTCAGGTGCGTGGTCAACGCTGAGTGCGCCGTTATCAACCTATGATCTATGTTAGCCTCAACTTATATCAAAAGCGCCATCACATCTACAGACCTTGAGGCGCTCGCTTCAACACTTGACTGGGAGCCGAGATCCCGCAGGGCGTTGGTCACTCTCCTGAAAACATCGTCTGCTGGGCCACCGTAGTTCTCTGTTCCTCTCCGAGCCAGCGACTCTACAGCATCCATTTTGGACACCAAGCCCGGTGGCATACCAGGAGAATCTAGGTCGGATTCCGAGCCATATTCACTCCCATCGTAATTACTAGTTTGACGCTGGTGTTTCCGTCGAGGTGAGAGAAGTGTTAGGTTCATAGCCTTTGCCCTATCACTTCCTTGCTTTTTTGGACTGCTGGTGTCTTCGGTATCTTCAATCTCGTCCATCTGATCATTGCTCTGTCCTTCCCCTTCAGCTCTGAACATGTCACTGTTGACATCACCATCTGTGTATTCTCCTTCGTCTCCTGAGTCAGAAAAGGCATCGGCAAGCTCATCAGCTAGGTTGCCCATGCCGTTTCCACCCAAGTCGGATGCATCCTGCTGATTGAAGCTGTTCCGGAACGGGGTTGAAGGTTCTTGCACCGATGACTTGGAGAGTCTTCGGGCCTGGGGCGAGCCGGAGAAGCTATCGAAGGCGGACGAGTTCCGAGAGTGTCTGGGAGTATGCGGCGATGATGGCATTTTTGATGTGTCGAACTGCAGATGCAGGAGTCCTCCCACAACCTGGCTAGGTAGATTCACAGGCCTGTGACTACCACGGTTCCACCGCCAAATGCAGCGGATTGGACACCGCCTTACTTCTCGAGTCGCGGTGTGAATCAGGAAGCTTCGGGTACTTTTATCGATTCTCTCTCGCAGTAGAATATTATATCGCAGAGCTAGTGGTTGCTTGATCTCCTTTCAAAATGGGGGATGTCGAGGGAGGGTCGGCGACGCTTGAAATGATATCGGCTTAGGTGACCAGGGACCCTTATTAGGTACTTGCTAACCACTAAATTATTGATCACACCAAATTGGCCGCCAACAAAAGGACAGGACAGCGAACGAACCGAGCTCCCAGGGTGTCCCATATGCTTAAGGTTTGTTTCTTTATGCGATATGCCATATCTCCTTTCGGTGGTACAAAATCTTGCCAGTGCATCCCAGGGCATTTCGACTCGACCGAGCTATCACAGCGCTTACGGAGTACTTGTAGTATTTCTTGATATACCAGTAGTCGTGGCGGCTTGATGTTGGTACCTGGCGAAACACAGGGGGACCGTGCCAGGACTGGCGCTAATGCGGGCAAAGGGTATGTACTCCGTACAAGTACGTATTGGATTGGTGTGAGTGCCAGCCAAGTGGACGAGATAATTAATGTTATGCAGAATTGTCTACTCCGTCGGGGACAACATTTATGGCTTAGGTTGTCTCCAAATAAATCGCACAGCCACGCTACACCAAAAAGAAGCAAACTTGATTTATCGGAAGCTCTCGCGGGGCACTCTAAAGTTCGGATTTCTCATGTACGTCTCTCGTTTGCATCAAGCACGCCGCCCAAACTGTATCGATATCGCCTCTTTAGCTCAAGACATACAAACTCTAGCTTCGTACAGCTATTCCTTTACACAAAGTGTGGCTCCTATAATTCTTCATCAGAAGACGCAAAAGCAGCTCTGAATATGGCGACGTTTCGGCGTTTTCAACCTGACGATGTGAATAAGTTTTCCAAGTGCAATCTAGACCCTTTCACGGAAACTTACGAGCTCAATTTCTACCTCAAATACCATGCAACGTGGCCAGCTCTCTTTCAAGTTTGTGAGGATATGGATGGAAACATTGTTGGATATAGTGAGATTTATCCTTTACATTCAGTACCACCTTGTCGAGGCTAACGTATTGACTGACAGTCATGGGCAAGGTCGAGTCTTCTCCGGACGCCTACAAGTTCTCCGAGCATTACCTACCATGGCACGCTCACATAACGGCGCTCACCGTTGCCCCAGAAGCAAGAAGGTCTGGCATTGCAAAGATCCTGACCGATCAGCTGGAAGTCGCAGCTGATGCTGAGAACGCCTGGTTCGTGGACTTGTTCGTTCGAAGCAGCAACCACAGAGCCATCGCCCTTTACAAGAATCTGGGTTACAGCGTCTTCCGCGTGGTGAAGGACTATTACGGTGACCACGCAACGGACCCTTCCAGGGCGAGCGAGGATGCACTCGACATGCGCAAGCCCATGAAGCGAGACAAGGATCGTCAGCACATTCGAGATGATGGAGAAACTCATATGGTTGATCCCGAGGATGTTTGGTAACCGGTATCAATGTGTGCTTGTCCTTTCCATCACTCCATTAAGCTTGATACTCAACTCAAAATCCAGTGTATAGGCTTACCGCCCCTATCATGACATGGTGAACACTAGCTATTCATATCCAGGCTCCATCCACTTCATAAACGCTTCCACTCACAAAGGTACTCTCAGGGCCGAGGAGGAAAGCTATCACATTGGCGCACTCTTTTGACGTACCTTGGCGCTGGAAGGCAGTTGGTTCGTCGAAAGCGGCGTCGTCTGGTCGGTTGTGCATATCCCATGCCTTCTTCATCAATGGGGTATATATGGCTCCGGGGGCAACAGCGTTGACTCGCACTTCTCGGTGGCCGTTCTCCTTTGCTGCCGCTCTTGTCAACCCAACTATTCCGTGTTTGCTGGCGTCATAGGCGCCGTGCTTGGCAAATCCTGATTATACTGGTCAGCTTTAGAGATCCCATTTATGTGCAGTTCAAACCTGCCCTTGATGCCATGAATAGAAGCAACGTTCACGATGGAGCCTCCGTCTACTATCCTGTTGAGCTGCGCCCGTAGGCAATCCATTGTTCCTGTCAAGTTCACAGCGATGATCTTATGCCACTCTTCGTCCTCAAGTTCCGCTACGGCACGAAGACCGTGGTGCTTCCCAATGATACCAGCCACGTTAGCTGCCCCATCGAGTCTCCCATATTTCCGAAGAGTAGCGTCTAGCCAGTCCTCAACTTGGGGCCGTTGTGAGACGTCGACACGGGAAACTAGCGCCTCGATGCCCTGCTCATCAAAGTATGCTGTGGCAGATGACATGGCATCGAGGTCAATATCGGCGATGCTCACAGTAGCCCCGCGTTTTGCAAGAACTTTGGCTGTTGCGAAGCCGATTCCGCTTGCACCGCCAGTCAGCGCATAAACTTTTCCTTTGAGTGACATTGTCTGTGGCTTCAAGGTCGTGAGTTGGCTACTCGGTAGCAAATGAGGGATGAGTCAGATGCTATGGCACAAAATGATATTTATATATATATATATACGCTTGGGCTTCATGGCTGACTGGATCGAGATTCCCCGCTTGAAACAGCCGGTGGTTAATCTGGGGAATAATTGACATTGTACTGGATGTGTAGGATATACTTGAAGCTCTAGGGTAAGCACTTGATACTGGCCTGTGACGGTTCTGCTTGACTTCCTCTCGTCTTATGATCACCTACCCATTAATATCCTATGGGAATGAGATCGCATAGAGTATGCTGTGCAGCTTGTATGAAAGCTCGGCCTTTCAAATGAGGTTTAGATTGCTGAATGCAACGAGGTGCTTTACCTACAACATCTTTTGTACATTTATCATGGATGCATGACAATATTATATCTATCGGATGGCGGATGGGATAGCACTGTAATAAGGGAATTAGGTAGGTAGTTGTCAAACTGTCGGGTGCTGCGGGCTATATCCTTCGTTTGAATGGACAGTGTCCTCTCCAGACAACGACACTGGCTTGCAGCTGAGGCGATACCATAAACTCGACTTGCTTTTCACCCACGTACCGTATCAGTACTTTTGTTCAGGTAAGGTAGGTACCTCAGCCTCAGCAATCATCGCTTCTAGACAGCAGCCTAGGCCCTGGGACCGGGCTGTCCCCTGCTAGTGGAGGTTACCTAGGTACCTACCTAGGTAAGGTTAGTAGTTAGTTGCCTCGCTGACGGGCAGCGCCAACGCCCTTGTCCCTATCAATTTCCAACCAAACACGGGCAAGCACGCACGCCTCGATTCATCATCCGTCCCCATCACCAGACCCATCCACTTCCGAGCCATCTCGTCTGGTGCTGTTTGCCCATCACCATCACGTACGTTTGACCTTTGGCCTAACCGAAGTCTTTCTACTTGGCCAACGAACCTAGAGATTTCTTTGTTCTTTCTCTTTGTTGCACAGCATTCTCAATAAAGCCGCTGCCAACATAGTTGCCGTACTCCCAGGCCCTCCTTTTTTTTTATTTTTTAAATCTCGTTTTATCACACTTATTAATACTCGGCTTTGCTGCCTTGCGGCGCCTTTGCTTTTCCCTTTCCCCTTACGCCAACTTTTTTTTTTCTCCCTTCTTCAACATCGCCTCTTCACCAAACCAGCCTGCGCGTGAGCTATTCATCGTCAGCCACCGCATCTAAACCATTTCTGGCCTCATTATCTATTTTCTATCTTTCCAGACAAAACCAAAGCAATAGAGATGGCTACCACCGCGATGGATTACGAGGCTGCCAATGGCGACCGGTACGAAGGTTCGTAGTCAGCTCCAAGCGCGTTGATGCACGCGCTTCCTTGCTCTTCATCACTGTTTACGTGAACAACACTCCATCAAATTCGCCTGCCACACTCTCTCCTCATCACCCTCCCGTCACCCGATCAGCCCATCCTCCTATCGTATCTATTCAGCTCCGCAAGTCGCTAACCGGCCTGTTCTAGATGAGGCTCCTCGATATGAGCGCGACAACCGAAGTGCATCGCCTCGCCCTCGTGACGATAACGAAGGTAGCCGCCGTCGCTCCGCCTCACCCGGCGGCCATGGTGACAGGTTTGTTACAATGTGTCCCACCTCATCGGCAAATGCTGACATATATTCACAATAGCAACATGAAGGACGTGTCTGCTTCCCGGGACGACGATGATGGTGCTATCAACCCTGGGTCCAACCTCTTTGTCACAGGTATCCACCCCAAGCTTTCCGAAGCTGAGGTGTCCAAGATGTTTGAGAAATATGGCGATGTTGAGAAGTGCCAAATTATGCGTGACCCGCACACCAAAGAGTCTCGCGGATTTGGCTTTGTCAAGATGGTCACATCTGAACAAGCCGAAGCTGCCAAAGAGGGTCTTCAGGGTGAACAGATCGAGGGTCGCACTTTGAGCATTGAGAAGGCCCGCCGAGCCCGCCCTCGTACCCCGACTCCTGGCAAATACTTTGGCCCACCCAAGCGAGGTAAGGATACCCAGTAGCGACATGATGAGTATTTTACTGATCAGTCATAGAGCCTCGTCCTGGACGTTACGATGATCGCCGACGTGGTGGTTACGGTGGTGGTGGCGGTGGCGGCGGTTACGGCCGTGATGACCCTTACCGCTACCGTGGCTACGATCGCAACTACGAGCGACGCTATGAGGACCGTGGAGGTGGTTACGGTGGCAGCAGCAGCGGCGGCGGCGGAGGAGGTGGTGGTGGCCGCGACTATGACCGCAGCTATCGGGACGAGCGTCGTTACGAGGATCGAGGCGGCTATGGTGGTCGCGACTATGATCGAGGCTATGAACGCCGTGACCGTGAGGAGGGCTACGGCCGTGATCGTTACGGAGGAGGAGGTGGCGGAGGCGGTCGTGAAGAGCGAGACCGCTATGGCCCTCGGGGAGGCCCTGGAGGTTCTGGCTATGAACGTGGTGGTGACCGATACGAACGCGGAGGCGACCGAGATGCTACTCGAACTCGCGACCCAGCTGCCAGCGCCGGAGGAGCTGGTTATGGCGAATCCGCCTCTCGATCTGAGGCACGCGATGCCTATGGAGGTTCGACCTACTACTGACTGTCTCCCAATTATTTATCCGCTAACCCTACCAGGCGCTCCCGATCGTAACATCCAGTAAACGCCTGATGTTTGCCACGACTCGACTGAAAGAACAGTCTTCGGGATCACGCCCCCATTCTCCTTTCCTCTACTAACCCCGTAACTTTGCTTGTTCAATTTTCTTCTGTTTACTGTTATTTACTCGTTGTTTTCTTATCTTTCATGGACCACAGCAGACTGAATCGGGCTCTGCTCACACAGGAGTTTAGTGTGATTGCGACAGTTAAGGGATTGGAATCAAAAATGGGTACTCGGCCTGCGTCACTTGAGTTTTCTTGTTGCTGGTCGTCGGTTTCGCAACAAGGTCACAGAAGGACCACATTTGGCAGCTTCCGGATCTTTGCAAATCAAACACTTCATCAGTCATCCATCGCGTCTTCGACGACTTTATGATAGCTATTGCCAGCACAACATCAACCAGATGTCGACCCCGGCCTAATCGGTGAATCACATGGACTATCAAACTCAACTTCGAATGCGGCCTCGCGACTCAACTGCCCGTGCTGTCCTCGTATCACATACATATACTATTATGGGGTATGCGAGACGGTCACTTGTGGCTGTTGCTCTGCTCTGCTCGTCCTGGCTGACTTTAGTTATTGACTCAGAGACGCCTGTAAATGTTTCACCCACCGCCAATCAAATCACACATCGCTGTAAAACAACTTGACACCCCCTACAACTCTGACAATCAATCAATGAAACCGCTATCGCTAGGCTCACGCGTGGGGTTTAGAATGTTTCTCGGCTTTCAGCGATTCGGTACACGAAGTCCTCTCAACCACCGTCTGCTCACCAAGCTCCCCCAACATACCCCTGGGATTATGATTCTCAGCAAACTTGTCGCCAACACCCAGTCTAATTCTTGCAAAACCACAGGACTGGACCCGTGTACTGGTAAGGACTGCAAGTTGTGATCCTGCTGACTGAATGGTAGGGTGATCCCCCAAGCTGGATATATACATATACGAGAGTAACCGCCGATATTTTCGCTGCCAAAAGTCTAAACAGTGAGTTGGGCCAATGCTCCTTCGAGGGCCGACTTAAACAAGAGTCGTAGCCGTGCGGGCATGCTATTTCAATTTCCCATCACTCAATAGGGATCACAAAGGAGCATACATGCGTCCATGGAGCATCTAGCGATGCATGCATTTGACTGTGCGTTGTATTCATTTCCAAGAACATCGAGAAGTTGGCTGTAATGAACAGCTGCCACAGAAGCATTCTCTCAATTAGTTTCAGTTTATTACTTTGTAAATATTCGTGTTATTAACCCTCTTCCCTTGATGCGCCTGACGTCTCCACGCTTATTCAGCTCGGTATTTTGACCTTGTCGATCACACTTTTGGGACAGTTATAGCTTCGTATCATATGTGTAAGTAGGAAACGATATAGGGATGATTCCCTCAACTGTTAGTGAGGACCCAGCCCACCTGCATCCTTCGCATGGCCATTGAAAATGTAAACAACTTTGATGTCTAGTCGATTGCGTTGAATGTCTGTATTTGGTGGCCTGAGGCTTGCAAAGAACCCAACGTGCTATTCCAAGGCTGCTTCCTCACCCCCTGATAAATGGTCTCCAATGAGGCACACGTCTGATTACTACTGGCCACTTGTAGGTCGCTTTGGATTTGCTCCAAGCAGCCACCCCACGCCAGATACCAGTGTACCAGTCGCAGCCTCTCTTAGCTGATCCCTCTTCCTTGTTCTGTTCTGCTCGTGCAACTCGGACTCAGAGGACTCGGACTCTGCATTCGTCTTATCTGATGTAAAAGAGCCCTGTAAGCTTGACAACACAGGTAGGTTCCTGGACGCGACCCTGGCTGTGGCTCTAGAAAGATCGAAGAGAGACATTGGCGCTTCCTCGGCTTGACGAGCTGTCGCGCTGGCAGATATGTTGCGGGGTGGATAAGCTTTATCTGGGCCTGGTGTATCGAACGAGCCAGGGAGACCCGAAAGGTCACCTGCGGTATCCCAGGCAGCTTCTCGAGCAGCCTCCTCCTTAATTGCAGCATCCAATTGCTCTTCGCAACGACGGAAGGTCTTTAATACTCCCTGCAGCTGAGACGGGGGAGCTAACCGTAGAGAAGTTGCTAGGCACTCAATCCGCTGCTCGAGATGGCGTATCTCGGGATTTCCACTTGCCGTTCCGAGATGCGTTGGCTTCTGGGATCTCTCCGTGCGGACATATTTGCCAGCGTCAAGTGCTGCCTTCCATGACCATTCGTCAGATATGCCTGCAGGCTGCGACTTATGCACATTCTCATCGGCGCCAAGACGGGTTACCACGTAAGAGTATGCAGTTTCGAAGTCGTCTTCGCGCAAAGCAGCTTCGATGCACATGGCAACGATTCGTTTTGTGACCAATGATTTGACCGCGTCTTGATCCTCTGTTATCGGCTGCTGCTTTCCTGGCCTCACGTAAATTGGCAAATTCGCATGGATCATGTTGTTTCCCAGTTCCTCAAACTCTTGCAAACGTGTGTATGCTTTGGGATTTTGTTCTAGAACCTTTTCGATGATCGAGACCGGATCAGAGTGCACTCGAAGTACAACCGGACTGAAAGGTTCGCCTTGTTTGAGTACCAGGCGATAGTCGCCCAAGGCATGAGTAGCCTTCAATAATGCTTCGATGCGTTTTCTGACGGAATGATTTGTACCCAACGTTCTCGGAAAAGCTTTGAGGCTGATTTGGTCGTCAACAATGGTGCCCCGAGGACATAATAACTGACTTACATTTCATCGCATCTTCTTAACCCCCCTCTATTCCGGTTTGGATTCGAAGCATTGTCGAATGCCCCGAGAGCTGCGTTTTGTGCAGTGTTTAGCACGGCAGATACCGACAGAGGCGCATCTGGCCCTTCTTGATCGTAAAGGGTTCTTGCTAGGTTGTATCCTAAGACGTGTCAGGTGTAATTTGGCCATATAGACATGCTCTTAATACATACGTGAGCGCGAAAGCATGGCTTTCAAAAGCTCTGTCTCGATGAACTCCAGGGTCAACTTGCCAAATATGCCCTGCAAAGTTTCGTCTCTGGTAGGCTTCAGACTGTTTCCCCAACCATGCAGCCATAGTATCTCTTTTCGTGCCCGGATCCAGAAACCGTCGTCATCAGAGGCACGACTTGGAAGATTTCGTATAAGACGGCCAATTTGCGATTTTTGTTCCTGCTGATCCTGAATAAACGCTAGATCTCCAGCTTTACGAATTGTGCAGGGAACGCCCGAGTGGGTGAGAAGATAAGCGCTTTGGATGAGAGCAGGGAGAAGATCAAGAGATTCCTCTTTGGGTGTTGTTAGAGGATTTGAGCCTTGTAGTAGGTTGTTACGTAGGTATGTCGCAGCTTTGGCTCCACCAAATGCATCTATATCGAAAGGCGGAACAGGGGCAAGATTTTCTACTGCGGTTTGAAGTGTTATATCGGAGTCTTCATCCAAAAGAGACCGGATCTTATTGCAAATTCTGAAGGCTGCCTCCAAAGCCCCCAAGTCGGGATCAGAGACAAGATATGCAGAAGCTAGGATGGCCCTGGCGTAAGAGCGGTCGAGATACTGCTGTTGGTTTTCCTGAAGCCACGAGCCGGCATCGTTTCCCAGGTCTATATCCGATGGCCCATCCCAGGATTCAATGGCTTTGAGAGCGACTGGCCAGGATGTTGCCGCTTTAGAGGCGAGCCATTCAAGAGCCTGCTCCCAACCAGGACACGATAATTCAGGCGCTGTATCCGTTTCGTGTGATACATCTTGGTCAAAGGCCTCTCGTTTCCACCTCGATTCGTTATGTAGCCAAGGCCCAACAAGGCCACTCAGATCACGGCCAGCTAGGCCAAACTCATCATCGACGGCACCTGTCTCAGCCAGGAGATAATCGATGGCTATTCTGTCAGGTAGATTCTGGAACTCAAGTAGCGGATACCGTATGGGTCTTTGTGGATAATACTCGTAGTTTCGTCTGACCAGGGGGAGAACCGTTGAGATCATCCACGTGTGAAGTTCACGCGAATGCTGCAGGAATGGGGACACCAGGTTGGGGACTTGTGGTAGCATGCCTGCTTCTTCGTCCATTCTGTAAGCCCTCAAAAGTAAGAAAGAGATGAGTGGATCAGCCTCGTGAGCGAGAGTGAGAGGCACATCAGTATTTTTTAGAGAGAGAAGATGAAGTTTCTTGACTTTTCTTGAAGCCTGATCTTCTGTTATACTTTGAACAGAAGAAGTGTCGAGCTGGTAGTCTGGATTTGTCTGTGATGGCGACTCGCCACTGGCAATGGCTTGTATGAGAGGTACATACACTGCCGGACTGAGGGTTTCGGGAAGATATGTAAGAATGATTCGGAGTACCAGCTCTGGCCGTAGTATTATGGCATGCTGACCAATGAGATGGGTCAAGCTATCGATGTCGGCGATGGTTGCGAAGTGTACAGCCAAGAGCACCAGCTTCGCAGGACCCAGCGTGACATGAGCCGCCATCATGATGATGATGATGATGATGATGATGATGTTAGTATTCCCAGTCGGATAATAGATTCAAAGAGACCATAAATGTTGGTGAAACTTTTAGAAATAGTTTCACTTTGGTATTGGAAAAGGAGAGCTTCAACTAACAAAGTGGCAGGTTGGTTGGTTACCATCTGGTATTGAACAGAGTGGACTAAGTTACTAAGTTAAGGTGCACCTTGCTTTGGGTAGCTACAGCCACACACATTACGCCACACCACACCACAGGTACCTACACACGCATGAGCATCTGTGGCGGTTCAAGCGTTATTTTCAGTGAGCCGATAAGATCCACTTCACCATCCAATCCACGGGCACCCATTTGCTACTCGGCCAAGGTACGGGTGAATTCAAGAGCCGGAGGCACTTCACGACTACAACGTCAAACGAACCGCGATTCAACGATCAGATACTGCCCGACCCGCGCAAAGCCCGACACATACTCAATTGGCTCAAGATGGCGTCGGGATACGGCATGAACGGCGGTAAGTCTATCAACGGAGCTTCCACGCCTACGCTCAACCACCTGAACATTCCTTGGACTGACGACATCTACCTGGACTCTAGGGGTTGGCCGCTGCTTTCCCTTCTGGCAGGAGGTTATGGGATGCTATGTGGTCAACACCACTGCCGCCGATGACTCTGGCAAGAAGAAGTGCGGTCTGGTTCTCGAAGATTACTACGAGTGCCTCCACCACAAGAAGGAGGTAGGTTGAAGCACGCAGATTCGGCGTTGCTTTCGGCATGGTAGGACAGTGAATTAACAGCAATCGACAGCATGCTCGAGCTCTCGCCATGCAAGCCGCCTACGCCCGAAGCGAATCCGCCACAGCGCGCGACGATGCGCCCAGCGTTAAACAAATAAGGAGTCTAGGACTCATCGACAAGGAGGAAGACACGAAGAAGGTGCTGGGACAAAGCTAGACGACGGATGGATCTGGAAATACTCAATGAATGATACTCGAATGTTATTTATGCTAGCCGAATTACCTGTATCGCTCAGCTACATGTGAAGGAATAAACCTTGGTTTCGCTCAAGCTCCCCATTGTGACAACGCCCAAACCAGCTGGAACTTTTGACAAGCCATCAACGCTCGGACTGCCAGTTCCTTCGATATGAAATAACTATTTAGTAATCCATTTTTGGGGAATTTCTACAGCAATACCACCAAGCAGGTTAGCATTGTGCTCAGAATCTTGTTGACATATGCAGCCATGTGATATAACTCGGGCCAAGGGCGAGCCTGACTGAAATTGGTTCATTGTAATATGTCCAAGTCTAAGAGCAGCAGGAAACAAGCAAGGCACAAGCCCTAGAGAGGGAAAGGTGCGTACCTACCTACCTACCACCTAGGTAAGGTAGGCAACTGGTCATATTTGCCAGCCGACAACAGCTGGCCGCCAGTGCCCCCTCATACCTCCCGCCTCCCTCCCATCCACAATTCCCTTACTCTCAGTGAGCGTATATTGTTACTTATATTATGGCAGGCCGACCCTCAAAGACGCCTTTCCTTCATCTTCATCAGCAAATGGCCTTCTCGGATTGCCTGGGTATCTGCTAGAGCTTGTGCAACATGCCTTCTCTTGAGGGAATTGAAGTTGCGATCGTTACTCAGTCCGAACTGGCCAAGCTCCCCGAGTTTCCGCTCTCGGATTCCTCCTCTCAGAGTGTTCTACCGTCTACTAATCAACTGTCTTGCTCAAGTCTTGCGGCCTCGAGTCGACTTGGTTCATTACCACGCCCACTTCTGAAGACCAGTCCTCGGATTTCTGTCTACATCCCCTCAGACCCAGGTTTGTCTTTGTTCGAACCAAAGCCTCCAAGGAGCCCTGTCTGACTGGGTTTAGGATCACGATTTGGAATCCACTATGCACTCAGCGAAACGTCACAACTGCCACGCTTCTTGTATTTCAAGATTTTCATGAATGGCAGAAATGTCACAAACTGTGGCGTGAGGGTTCTTGATGGAACTTCAGGTTCCATCACACGCTCCCTCTGTGAGCCAAGCGAGCGCTGGAAATACAAGGAAGATGGGGTGTTGCGCATCAGGGACGGGATAGAGGCACGTTGCTTCTCCTTTCTGCCACACGCGCATCAATCAGTTGCAGAAGATGGCGGCTTGATAGATGTTCAAGTCTTTCGGGCCAAGGGCCGGATCCGAAGATTGCCCATACTAGAAAGCCACCGCGGTCAGGAGTCATACGGTATTGGGTTGGTGTGCCTTGCATATATGTTCAGTAATTGTTGGCTAATAAGTTGCAGGTCGCCCTCTGGTGGTCTTCTCGATTCACCAGATGAAGCCGGTTTCTACGATTGGATTCTAATGGACTCAAAAGAGTCACCTTTCGTCTCTTTCCGGTTTCTCTATAGATCGTTACTAAACCTGCGTCAACTGAGCCTTGCACCGGATCCCGAGTCGGATGACAGTTCAGTCGACATGGAAGAGGACATGGCTGAGCACGCGGGCGAAGGGTTTCGTTCGATAAAACCCCGTTGTATTGGTAATATTTGCACAGAGAGTCCAAGTAGTTCAGCGTTGGATGATGCTCTGTCGGTCCAGGGGGAGCCCCGTTCGTCAATACGTCCAAGGCGGTTGACCAAAGCAGCTCCTATGATTGCACCACCAAAAGCCTCAGCTCGTCCTCTGCCCGAGGTTCCAACCAGGAAGCCTGTAGAGCACAGAGACATTGAAAAGCAGGTCGAGGCGCATGAATACACTTCACTATCTGATATCCCAGAGGAGATAGAGCACACTGATACCAGCATAGCCTGTACTACCAGCTTTCCAGGTAGATCCGATTCTCCTCGCAGTGTCAAAGCGAGAGTTCTCGAATTGAACGATTGCGGTATAATGCCGCTTGAGCCAGCTCTCAAGAGAGACACCAGCTCGACCATCCTCGAATCACTTGTGAACTACTCAGAACAGCCTGGCTCGGGACAAACCCGTGCGTTATTAACATCGACAGGGAAGATGGGCCACCTAGAAACAGATGAGCCTGAGCAAACATCGGAAATGAAGTCGATTGTTGCAGAAGCAGAACACTCATTCAGGACTGGTTGGAGGCTGAGTGAGAGCGAGTGGATCAAGGGGGAGGTTTGACTGCACAAATGGCAACGGGGTAGAGTTTGTAATCCAGAGTTGTTTGATTCCGGTCTCAAAGGGGATTGCTCAATGGATGTGTGATAATGATGAACTTGCAGAGGAAGTGCATGGAGACCCAATCATTTCAGTTATCTTACTTAAGTTAAGGTATGCCAACACGACTGAGCACCCAGATACGATACGAGGTATAAATTTTACGCCCACCTCACCCAACAGCATACCAACCTTAGGTACCAAGGGATGGTGAGGGACAGTGAATAACAGCGGTGACGTACGTTCCTGCATGCCCGCGTACCGAGCTTGTTGATCTTGAGGTAAAATGACTGCCACCGACAGTGGCAGGGCAGTGACAGGCAGTCAGTCAGTAGTAGCCTTAGGTCCTGCTTGCCAACCTTGTGATCAGTACCAGTCACTCAGGCAGCCGGGCAGAGTAAATATTCCGGTATCCTCATCGACACTTCATAACTAGCAGACAAACGCCAAAATAAATGCAACGCATCATGGCGGACCAAAGCTGGCTACGATTTCTTGGGGGTAACAGAGCTCGACAGCACGATCTGAAGTACCGTCGCTCCGAAGCAGCCCTACAGGACTTGTACAAAGATCCTCCCAAAAGCAAAGAAACCCATGGCCACCGCGTGAAGAAGAGCATGACACGGCTCCCTAGCTGGCAAGATGTATCTCAGGCAAACCAGGCGACTGCCGCGGCGGCTGAGGCGGAATACAGTTTGGACGAAGTAGACAAGTTGTTCATCAATGCAGGCCAGCAGATCTGGCACAACCCTTCCATTGACCAAGTGGCAGAAACATTGCAAGTTGCAGTAATGTCCAATCCTGCAAGCGAAGCAGTTTCCGCAGAGTATCGCTCACACATCCTGCTCCTTTGCGAAGCTTATGGTGCTCGACACAGAAAGATTGCCAGGCTCGAAAGAGAGCTTGCAGAAGCAAAAATGGCACTCAAGGACGAGGCAGGTCGACATAGCTCCATAGAAGAACACTGGATGGTCCAGGATGCACGGTACAAAGCTGAGGTCAAACGCCTCGAGATGTTTATTCATCGAACGTCTGAGCAAGGCATGGAAGCTGTGGCACTCGCCAGGGCCGGTAGTCTCCTCAGGGGAAAAGCTGGAGCTACCGCAGGAGGGCAAAGGGCCATCGACAGTGACGTGTACGACGAGGACACCTCGAATGGAGGTAAGTATGTCCAACCGTGAAGCACTCGACTACACTGACATTTGACGTAAAACAGCCCTTGAAGTCACTGCCAAGAACGAACGTAATCCCAGCTTACTAACACGGCAAGATACAGTGTGTGAGTGTTCATGCTCAATTTCAGACTTGTTAAATATCCACCACATACTAACATCTTATGAACAGTATCTCGAACACGAACCATGGACACCAGCAACGAGATCAGGTTGAGCAGAGGGTTCCGGGTCCAGGATCGCCTCAAGAAGAAGAAAGGAACAACTGGCGCTCGCCGACTTGAGACAAGTGCAGACAGTGATGGAAAGACACGGCCTGAGCAAGGCCGAGAAGAACTGCATCCACGAAGTACTTCTGTGCTCTCGATTGGTCCAGATGGACGAGGCACAGCAGACATGTCGCCACACAAAGGTAGTGCCAGGAGAGAGCGCGATTCTACCGAAGACTCAACATTAATGAAGGAGGTTGGCATTGTTAGCCGGACCAGCTGTACATCCACATCTCCCACACAAAACCAGTCAAGCCAGGATACGGTTACTGAGCTCCGATGCGATCGAAGAAGCCACCAAAATAACTCTCGGCATCGTCGTCAATTCTCGTTTGTTCCAGGAGATGATATAACAGATGTATGGTTGGGCGGGCCCACAGGGTCTGGAATTGCTCTGGGTCAACACATCCAGAAGAGTCAGGCACAAACAACTAGTAGAGAGACTGGTCGTTTCTGTGAAGAGAACCGTAGGTCGAGATCGGCCGAGTGGATACGGATGATAGAGCAGCGACGATCGGACATTGACGACAACCCCGGAGCGTCAGACCTACGACTCTAGCCACTTCAGAAGATAAGCGAGCCGTCAGGCCTCAGTGCCGTTTCTCATATCGCGCATGGAGATGATTGACTGGCTCCTCAAAAGGTTCTTTTGTCAGTAGCATGTCTAGCATGTGGACATAGGGCAATTAGAGTTTTCCATTATATCAACGGCGAAAGTTTATACGAGGGGGAAGTCGAATCGAGTTTGTTGCAAGACGAACAGCACAGGGGTGTTGGGGATATCACACGATGAGAGGTCCCACAGGGCGAAGGTAAATAACTCTGCTCAGCGTGACGAATGATGCCAAGCGATAGGCCCGGAGGGGAAGGATGTTCGGATGACTGACCGAGAGGCGTCGCATCGACGAGGCTCAAGACTCGACGGAAGAAGCATAGTATGTGACGACGGATGTGACGCGGGTGAGGCGGGCTTGGGGCACGACGGGCGACACGGGATCTAGCCCTAGAAGACAAAGGCAACGAGCAAACAAACGAGCAGTTGTGGTAAAACCTGGAGAAGACTAGACAAGCCCGGAACAGCCTGTCTGCCTGTCAAGTCAAGGCAAAGACGCCGGTGCCGAACCTTATATCAAGTCCCAAGACTCAGTGACTATGACGAATCAATAAGGTTAGAGGACCTTGGGACCGCTCAGAGTGGCGCTGGCGACAGGAATGCCAATACAGCGCCTGCTGAATCGAGCCATGCTTCATCGACAGCGTAAGGAATGTGACTGTCGCTAAATCAAGGAACCATCAACGGGACGGGTAAGGCAGACGAAGCGTCTATCAGTCTGTCTCCTCGGCGACAGCATGGCATGCGACTAGACCAGGGCATGCCGTTATTCAAACGATGGTCTAGCAAAGTCTAGAGCTGTGCCTGAGGTCAAGAGCGGAGACGTGAGTCGTGCCTGAATCGTGCAACGTCTTTGTTGGTGTTTTTCATTGGTTTCGCTTGATTGAAGGAGGCTCGGCCGATTGAAGCACACGCTCGCTATCTATCCTGTGTGTTCGAGGGAGTGTTCTGTCGCTGGTTGGTACCAGGCCAGTGTCCTGAAATGCTGTGAGTACCAATTGGGGAAAATGCATGTCTGCAAGTCTGCATGTCTGTGCTGTAAATCGACAAATGTGTTTTTATTGCAGTGAGGATACGGAATAGATACGTCAGAGACGATGGTGATGGCTCCACAATAGCTCGATCGTCGGCCAAGTCATTGGACATTGGGCGATGAAGGAGAAATAAGGTTTTCCCAAGCTGTTAGTCGTGAGTGAGGCGATCCGTATGCGGCCAACTCAAACAGCCCAGAGCAGACGAGAGCTGTAGGGGTGCCTGAGGTGAAGATCGCGGATGACTAACTAGCGCCAGTTAGATCGCGTTGGCGCTGTTGATGGCGGATCGAGCACCCTACTAACCCAAGTTTCGTTTAGCTTACCTTACCTTAGTAGTGAGTGCCTGCTCGATCTCCCCCGAACGGCGGCGCGGCGATAAGCGAGACTGCTGGATCCAGATCCCTGGGTCTCGCTTGTACAGTAGCTAGACCTGTTGTTGGTTAAGGTAAGTTAGACGGAGGCCATAAACATCCGCGTTCGTTGAGTTTCCCTCCCTCCCGTCCGTCCCTTCCCTTCCCTTCCCTCCCCTCTCGATTCCTTATTTTTTTTTTCTCTGTCTCCATTTTGTCTCCGTTCTCATGCGATCCAACTCACGCACCCCCGTCTGTTCTTGGTTAGGGGAATCGGAGATTCATTCATTTCTTCAACCGTCGAGCACAATGTGTAGGTTTGTTTGTTTGTTTGTTTGTTCGTTCGTTCGTTCGTTCGATGCTTGCGCATTTCCTAGTCTACCTAGTAGTTGGTGTTTTAGTTGTCTCTTCTCCTTTCCTGCTTCCAATGCGCGTGGCTCCGCAGGACTGGGTCTCTTGGTCCGTGATACCTTAGGACTGTTTGCTCACTTGTAGGTAAGGTACTAAGCTAGAGCTCCCGTCTCGACAGAATACCCGGTACAGAGGGCCGGTTCTGCAGTACAAGTAATACGGCGACCAACAAGGTCACCAAAAATTTGACTAAGCTGGGGGAATTGTCTCCCGGTGGAATGCCTCTGTCGCGAGGCCTCGTGGACGCATTTGGTCCGTTCGTAGGCCTTGCAAAGATTTGTCATTGTGCTAGCCGGTATTTGCCTCGTTGGTTGCACGATGCGTCCAGTTCAATGCGGTGCCCTGGGGGGACAAAGTTTTACGTAGCGACAGGCTGCATATCCAACCGAGGGAGCTGTTGCTAGGATTCCATCCTCTGCAGCTGGCGAAATCTCCGGCCAAAATATGTATGAAGATATGCGGCTGGTAGAGTGGATGGATTACATCACATCCTCCAGGAGAGTTTTCTACGTTGTTTTCAGAAGAAACGCAGAACACAGGAATGAAACCACAATTCGGTAATGATTTTCTCATTCATGCTTACAGCACGTTCGTTGGAGGGTCAGCGTAATGCTCAAGCTAATGTGCGTTACCTGACACGTAAACACTCGATCTCACCGTTTGAAACCAGCAAGGACATCAATGACAACCTCAAGCGTTGTCGTGACGCACTAAAAGGACCAGAACTTTCACGACGGCCAGCACAAATGCAGTGGACGCGACCTCGGACCAGAAGGCGGGCAATCTCCCCAACTGATGCCCAGTATGTATACGCATGCATACATACACGATACATGCGCAGTGGTTTCTTTTTCGTAGGACAATGGAGATAAGATGAGGTGCAATGAAACCTTCCTACGATCCGGGTTGAAACTATCCATCGTAACAGCCCCGGGGACACAGAAGCACCAGCACCAACGACTGAACCCAGTAGACTAGGGGGGGTGTCAGCAAGACAGATGGACGACGACTCAAGAAGCGTTCAGGCCTGAGCAATGCCAAGCTGCCAGGGCCAGGGGGACCAGCCTTTATGCGCTAAGGAAGAGAGACAGAGCAGAGAGAAGATGGGGGGGGGG